CCCTTTCAAACTACAAAAGAGGGGTTTACAAGAAACGACACGCCAATATACGCTTGTGACATAGTCACTTAAGTGGTTTTTGTCCCGCATATCTGATACCTCCCAAACCCATACCTGGAAATGACCTTGACACAACCAGCTGAAGGATTTGTTTCGTTCATGGTTTGGTACGCGCAGGCTATTCAACCTTTCGCACCTCCAACATCGAAATTGTATGCCTGGCCAAATTGCTATTGTTTTGTTTTCTTCTCAACATGCTGCACATGGCGGGGCTTTTGAGCACTGCGTTCCTCTCAATAAGATCTTGAAGCAGACAGCTCGATGTCATCACTTGTTCAAACTCAAAAGTCCTGGCCGCTGCAGAATCAAGGTGTCAACATGACAGCGGTCGCTGTATCAATTAAAACTGAATCAAGCATGGCTCGATACAAAGACCGCTGCAAAGATCAATGGCAATTTTCACTTTGGCAGAGAACACACCGCCACATGTTCTGAAGTGATTCTTGCGACTGTCGTTATCACACTTGATCCGGTTTCAATTCCCAGCTTTCAAGCACTGTTTCATCACCATGTTTATGCATATCATTTGTCATACCTTCGTTTGCCTCATGTTGATCTTTGAAAGGTTCCCTGATTGCAGCCCCGCTTTCGGTTCATCCCTTCATTGCCTTCTTTTCTGCTGTGCAGGCGTTTGCCTCAATCGACCTTCCTATTGGCCAGAGTGGCCTGGGTGGAACCGGTTTTGAGCCACTGAAGCGTGTCACCCAATTGATTGACTCCCAGTCATGAAGGTTTCATCAAAAGCAAGCCAAGCCTTGGCGGTGTCAAAACCTAAGGCCAAGTATTCATTGTCAATCTCTCACTCCCTAGTTCCGCGACTCGGATTTTAGTCACTTTTTGGGTTTGGGCCTGGCAAATAGAAGATTTTGGGCCCATCCACTCTGGAAGAGAGATCTTGGGTCCTGGAATTGGCCAGGTATCGACTCTCCAGCCTGCCACTATGCAAGATGTCTCAGTCAGCTGCCGTGAAGCCAAAAATTGAAAACAGGCCCCAACACCGAGCGAATCCGTTCGCAAGAGCCATCAAGAGGAAGCTGCCCCGGCTTGCATTCGCCCCCAAGGTTCCTTGCGCATCTAAGATGGCCCAAGCTTATCTTCACCACTTCCATGGCCGGACGAAATCCTGCACCACTTGGAACGGATACCCTACAAATCTGGGACAAACCACCTACCAACTGGTGCCTCACGTGCAGTTTGTCCATCCGCAGTATTTGGGTTTTTCTGGGTCCAGTTTCCCTTTAAAACCATCAAAACAGGGCATCTTCAAAAAGACACCCCATTCTCCAAACAGGCGAACCCCACCATGGTGCCCCTTTGGCTTTTGTTTAAGCCAAGGTGGCAAGGACCTTTCGGTTTTAAGAAACCGAGCCGCGCATGTCGCGCCTTAGGAGCTCAACAACGGGCGCTTTGCCATGATCTGCATCTTGGGCATTTGGGCGGCGGAGCTGGTCACCACCAAGGCAACGTGGATCAAATATCAGCGTCGAAGGGACAAACATGTGTGGTCAGGTGTATAGGTTCCAGCGTGGATATTGATGTGCGGCAAATCCAAACGTGCCGCGCATGAGGCTTTGTCTTGCATATGCAGGCTTTGCCAAGAAGATATTCAGAGAGTATTCTTGTCCCGAGAATGTTGCTTGTAGCGGTAACCTCCTCTCTACTCCAAACGGGCTCCACTCCAGGGGTGTGTCTTTGTTACATTACAGGACTCTTGCGATGTTCGGCCCAGGTCCTGGTCCAGGTCATGCACGTCTCGTGCTTACTCATGTCTTTATGTGTTGGAGTGTGTTGCAGTGTGTCTGGGTGGCCTTTGGAACAGTCGGATAGAAAAGCGTGGTCACCTGAATAATGGGAATGCAAAATGAAAGTATCTCTTGAACCGGGTTGTGTCTTCGATTTGTCCTTGGTCAAAGTTGCATCCAGAAAGTTGTGCCTTCATGAATCAGCAGCCTTGACGTCGGTTCATTCACCGGTGTCTATGGTGCCCATGTGACCTCCTTTGAGACACGCAGTAGCTCTGACAGCTTCCTGGAGGGCACTGAAAAGCATCTCACACGTTCGAAGGCCGCCCACGTTGCCCATGTGGGCCGGTGTCCATTTGCAAGTCCCACAGCTTGAAGCTAATAGACATCAAGCTAAGACCTGATTCGCATGGACTATCCGGCAGATCCAGTGTTGTTTTTCAGCTCTGTCGATGTGAGTTGCACAAGAATGCCACCTCAGTGGTTGGTGGACATGAACTCCCACCTAAGTGATGCCCACCAACAAAAACACAATTTAACATTCACACCCATATACTTCGCCGTCAGTCCAACAAGTCCTCAAACTTGCTCTCTATGGCCGGTCTTTTTGTGTGCCCTTAGCCCGTTGAACCTTGACACCCGTTCAACCTACAACAAGTTGAGCCTTGTGCTCAAGAGGGAAGAGAGGGCAACCCAGTAAATGGCGGTTTTACATGGAAACCACCCCAAAACAAGCCCCTCAAAAGCTCGACTTTCAGGGACCAGATCCGATGTTTGCGCGCAGGATGCGGTGGAGCAAATCACATCTCTCTTCGGCGCGTGAGCATCCAGGAATGCGGATAAGCGCGGAGCGTCTCCGCGCCCGGCAAGGTGTGGCCTTGCGTTTTTGGTAGCAAAGGATGCCGCGCTCAGGCCAGAAAAAAGGAACATAGCCATGACGTAAAAAGACCAGACCATAGGCATGAAGCTGAGGTCTTTGTTTGAGGTTTGGGCTGTTTCTCGAGAGGGTGACGTGTTGATTGCATGTAAACCTATTGTTGATGTGAAGGTATGGTTGCTTTACAAAACCTACAAGTACGCTTCTGCCAAATATAGCCACGATTCTCTCTTTTCAGCCAAAGCATCCGCACACGAGGTGCCCATTTAAGCACCCATGCGATGCGGCTGGCTCCGTGGTTTTGAACACAGGCTCCAGGGCGGGATGCTGCATGAGTTCAACGTGTTGCTTCTTAGCGACACCTTTAGCCTTTGGGTGGCCAGCAGCCCACGCAGGATCTCTCCTATCTTTCCGTTGAGTTCTTTTCACCATACCCCAACGTCGCGCTGGCCAAAAGACGAGAGCGCAGCGGGAGGTGGGTAAATGAAGCCAGCGTTCGTGATGAAAGACGGCTTGGTGTAACCCTAAGTCGGTGGTTTGCATTGGTGGTTTGGGATTTGAACCTCTGGTTCTAGAGGGTAAATGGGAAACCCCGGCTTACACCAAGCCACCAATCCAGCCACCAACTAGAGGGAAACTGATAACACGTCCAGATGTGGACTTAAGGAGCAGAAGGGAGCAAGTGGCTACTTTTTGCACGGCAGTTGGGTGAAATCAGGGGCAGTGCACATGCGAAATCAGGGGCAGTTGACCCTGGAGAGTTAGCAGTTCACTAGGTGTTTTTTGTTCAACCTCAGATAACACATGTTTGGAGGGACGTGAGTTTGTTTTATATCGGTTCGCAATAATCAATGTAAGCGACAGTAGACGAGATAGATATTGACAGACAAACCAGAGGGAAACAGACAGAGACAGAGCCAGACAGACAGACAAAGAAACCCTCTGAAACAGCTGCGGGGAAAATGTGAAGCCCTAGGTTGCAGGCAAGTTTACTCAAGGACTGGAACGTGCCCTCAAAGTGGTTACAGATGTTCCAAACGAATTGAGGTGTGTTTTAAAGGCACTTAGAACGCCTGTGGGATCAAGACCGGGTGGGGGGGGATATTTCAACTGCAGTTGGGGCGCGTGGCTGTGTTTGTGTTGTGCCCTGGGAAGCGAATGTTATTATGATAATGATATCAATGCAACCAATTGTATTTTGGAGGTCAAATCTTGACTCGCCATATTGCATTGTGTGAGTGCGAGAATTGTTGGTCAGCCCTCCTCCACCTTACCCTCTTTCCAATTTTCATAGAAGTGGACAAGCCTTTTCAATCGCGTGTGTCTTTTTTGAGGGTACTTTTTTTGTTGTTTTAAATGGAAACCAAAAAGAGCAATTTTGGGGGTTCCTGAAAAAAGGACACCCAAATGGACATGCGTATTCCAAACCACTCCCGTTCTATCAGAAACCCATGGGGAAGTCGACGGCCGAGGCCACTGCAGGCGCCGCGCTTTCGTCGATCCGCAAGGGTGGTACGGGCAGCTTAAACGAAACCTGCCCCGGGTACGACTTGAAGATTCCCCTTCTTCCTGATCACATTGTTTTCAAATCGGTGAGTTGGTGGGTTAAGCCAGATGCTTGTGGTTGCGGTTTGCTCACGCGTTGGAGGGAACCTTGCACTTGCCTCGCATGTTGTATGAAGCCCATCTAGATTCGACTGGTGGGTTTGAGCAAGTGCTCCAAGGTCAGATTGATGCACCGGGATTGCCTCGGATTGTCACGGTTGCCTCGGATTGCAACGACTCATTGACTGCACCCAGACAACTACGCAAGTTGTCCAACCGAAAGGGCAAGCCGCTGTGATACAACAGGTCTAGCACTACTCAATCCTCTTAGACTTTGTGATTCATGTGGCTCTTGGTGGACATTGTTGTTGCATTGCAGTTGTCTGTTGAATCATGCCAGGCTGAATCTTCCCAGGTGAACTGAACTGATGATCACACGAGGGCACAGTTGCTGACGCAATGGGTGTCCTTTTTTGGGTTTCTTTGGTTGAACATAGATGTCCCTAGTTTTTGTTTGGCTTCAATCATTTTCCAGTGTCATTCATTTCTCCCAGGATGGTGTGTTCCGCTCTGAGTCAGTTTTTCTGGACACACCCGGTGTTATACTCACACAGAAGCTGTCAACATTTGGTCAACATTACTCTCCACTCACTTCCCGACTTCCTTAGTCACTTGGATGTTGGACCACTTCAGCGGTAAATCCCAAACGAGATCGGTTCCTTTTCTTGGGCCAATCTCGTTTGCGGCCAAGCCGCAGTGCCTTCAACGGGTCCCAGGATCGCCGGGCGCCGTGATGCCGGTGCAAGTCCGGGGAGGGCGCTGGTTCTGCGCCTCCCTTCGGGAAGAGGAAGGCGGGCGCCGGGCTTCCGGGCCGTGCTGGCGGAATCCGTGTCGATTGAATGGCAAGCCACGAAGGGAAGACTGATCAACCTCAAGTGAAAAGTTAGGAAGATTTGGGTTTGAGAGTCTCAGGCAACAATGTCATTTTTAGGTTTGTTTGATTGAGCATAGATGGGTTGCCACTAGTTTACATGGGTTTGATGCCCTTACCAACACCATTTGTGTTTCCAAAAGGCCATCGATGTGCTTGACTGTTTGTTTGCAACAAGCCAACAATGTCAGGATGTCAGTCAAGCTACTGTCGCCAGCAATTAGTGATGAGCTTCAGCAAGAGACCAAGAGGAGCTGATGGGCTATGTTGGGGGAAAACGTTTGGTCGGTGGACCTTGATGAACGTGGCAGTCACAGGCTTGTGCTTTTTGATTATATAGGGCTTAAGCTGAGGCGCAGTAGCGCCGAAGATGGGATGATATTGATGCCCACGGCCTATGCTCCCGCGGCTTGTTGATTTGCCTGGCTGACATGAATTGTCAAAGGGGCACAATGGGCTTGGCGCTATGAGGAAACCGAAGCATCAGGAAGATCGTTTATATGCTCGTTGGAGCACACAGTGTTAGTACCGCATGTCAAAGTTTCGGACCGATGGTGCTCAGTGTTGTTAATGCAAGACTTGAGGGTATCAAACTGAGCCAGTTTATAGTTTGCTCATCTTTGCGCACCTACCACATCAATGCGAGCATGCCAGCCACTTAAAACCTTACGTTGCGTTGGTTTTTGATAACCATGCAAAAGCAGGTTTTGCTGAATTTCCCTTTACGGAACCTCCCAAAGTGGCAATTTCAAAGGAAACCAACCAACCAAACAGGGGTCCATCTCCATTTTGAGAACCCTAACACGAGCCTCAGAGCTCAGAGGCCGACAGAGCGGGCCTCTCCGCCTGGACCCAAGTCAAAACTGTTGAGTCTCGAGGCAAGCGAGTGGTGTTCGGGAGGGTCCTGGTTACCATGTTCCTTTGGGACCGGGTCCCGAACTGGTCGGGTTCCATGTGAAAAGGCTGGGAGGGTAAGTGGCTTTTGGTTTTTCTTTGTTATTTAGAGGGGACCGGGCCTGCAAGATGGTTGTTGTTTTCCTTTTGGCGTCCAACTGACCACGGCAAAAGGGGTACTCTCAAGAAAGGCAACCCTTTTGGGGGTTGGTTTAAAGGGAAACCAATAGGAAGACAACTGTTTTGGTGTGCCCAGAAAGCGACACCCAACTGTTGCAATCAAGCGTTTGTCCTAGCTTGTAGGCGGCCAAAAGTGGGCAGGAGATGATGTGCAGTTTTTCACACACGCAACGAGCCACAAACAGCGTGCGATGAAAATGGTCCGAGCAGCAATGTAGCACATATTTGGCCCAGTGACTGCCGCCTCCGGGAGCTTTATGCTGGCAAGGGGTAGCATTGTTTTAAGGATGACATTAGACAATTATATTGAATGCTGGCGCTGAGCTGTGTTCGGGCATGACGGCAGAGAAATGCGGGCCCAAAAGCGCGTCTGTGGTTCTGCTTTGTTTGCAGTGGCAGGACAGTGGTTCGTCGTACATGGGGGCCACATGCAGCAAGAAGAGCACAAGAGGAACAAACTTTTTATTGGAAGGCCCAGTAGATTGAGATGAGAGAAACCCGACAATGTTGAAGGCATCGGATTAGAGGAAATCAAGTTCCAACAGCGCACACATGGAATGCTAGCCTTGCCGTTCTGTCTCTCTTTCGTCATGCGTAAACAGGCAGAATTGACTAACGTTCACTCGATGCTGGATAAGAGAGAATCAGCAAAGAAGTCGCACAATACGTGCAGACCTGTCAATTCTACGGTTTGGGCTGTCAAAGCGAAGGGCTTCCTGTTGGTCCACTTGCAACGCTCTGCCAGCTCACCAAGAAGGGCGGTTCTTGGTGAGTCCTTATCTTGCTGGTGCGCAGGCAATGAGCGTTCCAGGTGTTGGGAATGAACCGGAACAAAAATCCCCTTAAAGGAAACCACCAGTTTTTTTTTTTTTTTTTTTTTTTTTTTTTTTTTTTTTTGGGGTCGTTCCATGTCTCATTGCCTACATGTCGAGCACAGCCTCCATGGCCCAGGCATTTCTCAGGAAGAAGCCTCAGAGGACTTGAAGCGCATGCTACAGGCTGGAGAACCCAAGTTCTCGCGTGCTCGGTTGCGCGCGGATGCCGTTGTCAGAATATGGTGTTTCGTCAACACTCGCAAGTTGTCGTGTGTGTGTTTTTGTGTGGTGTGTGTCCTGTGTTTGCGTGTGGTGTCTGGGGGTTTCTCCAAAATAGGAAGTGGGGAACTGTTTGGATGGTTTGAAAGGGAAACCACAAGGAAACCACCTACCTGGAGGAATCGGTCCCCTATGCATACAAAAGCAGCAGCGGCTTTCTCCTGACCATGGGAGTTGTGCGATCTCGACACCCTGTGGATGCCATGCAGAAATCCACCAACTCATTTGCTCCAATCGGGAGCGCTGTGGCATAACTTGCGCCTGCGTAAGCTCAAGCCGTGCTAAAAGTCTTCTAGAAATCGCAGGGGAAGAGATGAGAGCTGAGGCCCAGGCTCCCATAGCTTGGATGAGTCTTTCGGAAGGTAAGGGCTAGATGGCTAAGGGCAAATCCGGACTTGTACATTTACAAATGACATGTTCGAACTATACATTTTGGCATGGGCACATGCCAGCAAAAAGCCACTAAGCATGTGTGCGATAGTCTATGTGTCTGCTCCAATTCGTGACTGCAGGTCAAAGAGGAGAACAAGAAGAGGAAGCCGGCAGAGGTGGGCTTCACCTGAGCTGAAATGTGCGGAATTGTTCCTTGGGGTTTGAAGCTGAAAGGTGCCGTGCTCCATACTACTTGGTTCCCAACCATCCGGTTCCTTAGCTTGTTAGGACTAAAAGGAAGACTTTTAGAATGTGTTTGTTTCTAAGGGCAAATTGCAACGGTGGTGATTTACTATCGTGACAGGGGTTTGCAATTCAGCACATTTTGGTGAATTTTGTGTGGGGCATGTGCGTTGCAGGAGGAAACAGCAGCTCCTGCGAAGAGGGCTCGGGCAAAGGCGGAAGCAAAGTAGCTGGCATCCGGTCCGGTGGATCCACAAGCGGATTCAAGTACAGTGCCGCAAGGTGCTGTAAGCGCGAAACACTTGTTTTGACGGCTGTTTGCATGATTGATGGGCTTCGGACAGACTCATCGCTGACCCGACTGAGTGTGCAGCGCATGTTGAAGGACAGCACCGAGTGCAAATTTGAAGCTTAACCTTGCAATCAAGGTTTGCAAGTTAGGTCGTACTTTTGGAATCCGGCACATGCTGGTCTCTATGAGTATGGAGACGGCTCAGAGACTGCGATGATTTGCGATTCCAGACCGTCCTTGCGAATTTGAAGCTTGGGTACACCACCAGCCCTCAAATGCATCTATTCCTTCTTGTATCAATCCCAGCTTTTCTGCATGATCTCCTGTTGTCCAAACTTGGCTTCAGACGTTCATGCCAATTGGTCACGGACTATCTTGCCCGTGACAAGTCACAAATCCAATGAGCATGCAGCTTGCAGACGGTTTCGGTCTGGGGTCGCAAGTATGGTGCAGAGAACCCTGGCGCCAGTGATTGCCTCGGAGGTGAGTGCCATCTTCAGATTCGTGTGCCACTCACGCGTCATGCCACTGACTCAAGCTGGGCTGCAACAGACAAGAGTAGTATTGTATCCCTTCCTACATGTGTGGCAGCATGTCTGACATGCTGAGGGCTCACCAGCATATGCGCAGCCTCATCAAAAGTTAATTGCGAGCTGTAGATCGCCAGACGATGCTTGAACATGACACTTGCCAGCTGACTTTTTGTCAGCTTCCTAAAACTTGCTTTAGCTCTCGTGCCCAAGGCAAATCGACCGTTTTACCTTTTCGGTTTGCCCTGTTGGGTTCTTTTGTAGTCCTGGTGCCCAAAAACTCGCCTGTTTGTTTTCTTCTAAATGCTTAGGGCAACTGAGTGAAGCAAAATTTTCGCAACTGGCGCGTTATCAGTTTGGAAGGTGCCCCGCGGGACATGATGATTGAGTTTCCATCAAGCGAACTGGCCCCCCCCAGTAACTGGGCCTGATCCAGCCTCGCAGGATGCTTGCTAGGTTCTGTTATTATAAACGCTGCGCGCTGGGCGGCGCTGGCCGCCTCGGCCAGGCTCAAAAGAACCATAGGGTTCTTGCGGGCTTGAGCAAATGATGCCGGCTGGTAGGCTGCAAGCACAAAGTGATTGCCAGGAATTTGACTTGGGACCCGGCTGTAGGCGGCCTGAACCTGGACTGAGCTGGGTGCTGGGGAGGCTGGAGGGGCTGGAGGAGGGGCTGGGTAAAGTTGCTCGGGTGTGCGGCTGCGCCTGCTTGGGTGTCGGCTGGCTCAGGCTGGAAGTTGGCCAGCTTTGCTGCGAGCGTCGCTGCCTGTTTGCGAAGCTGGCTGGCTTAGGCTGAAGATGGCTGAGACTTTCCAACAACCAGCCCCAGCCCCCAGACTCAGCCCCAATGCGGAGTTGAGACTGCGGGCGAGAGGCAGGGATCTGAGGCAGGGTTTCTTCCCGTGAGATTGGCTGGAAGAATCGTGTTGGGGCTGCGTGTGGAAGGGGTCGCTATGATCTAGATAGGGATCTGACCGCTTCCCGGCCTTGGGGTCCAGGGCGAATTATGTCACACCTGGGATTTGCGATGTGGAGCCCAAGCCAACCTTAGCCCGACCAGAAGCCGGAAAATCAACGGCAGGGATATCGGTCGGCCTCAATTATACACATCGAAGAAAAACAAATGAGCGCAAGTTTCTTCTTTTGCCCGGGGCGCAGTGCGATTGCATCTGGAAGCAGCGCGGCAGCCGCGCACAAATCAAGTAGTTATTGAAGCATTGAGCGGTGAGCAAGCTGTTTTGACTTGGGCTTCCGCGCCACAGGCCGGCGATGATTGCAGCCCATCCATCCATCCATCCAACCATCCAACCAACCAACCAACCAACCAACCAACCAACCAACCAACCAACCAACCAACCAACCAACCAACCAACCATCTCATCCATCAATTCATCCATCCAAGGCCGATTTTCTTTCTGAAGGCTAGAATTGAGTTGCTCAGCCCCTGGCAATCCAAGTTGGGATGGTCTCACGCGAGCGGGGCGCTGTGGGGAGCGAGTCCGCTGCTGAAAAGGACGCTCAGCACCTTGCGTTGCCATGCCGCTACGTGGCTGCGCTGCAGTCATGAGCTCATGTTGTTGCAGTACACAATTGATCCCAAACAAAGGCACCGCTATGGAACGGCCGAGGGGGTGCAACAGCTCTCATAGGGTTGCCTTTTCCAGATCCCGTTCAGCTTGCGGATTGCGACAGAAGCCTAGGCCACCAACCGTATCAGCGGGGACTGCAATAAATGTGGGCGCTTAACAGTTGTCGCTGTGACACACAAACCATTTCAACCCAAGCCAGTTGCCCCAAGAGAAGGGTGCTGTTTGAGAGATGCAGTCGCATCAAGATGGACACTATTCACTGCTGTTCTTGGGCAAACAAGCCAAGGCATGTTTTGAAAGATTCATAAATAGTGTATGTGAGCGGGCTCTTCCCATTGAACTTTTCGAGGGGAAGACATCACGCATGATTAAGTTCGTTTGGATCGAGAATGTTTGGCACGGGGACCCTTCCAGCAAAATTCATTCAGTGCGTTCAGGGTGCTGAGCGGTGTCTCAGGTGTTAAGAACAGCGAACCCATGACTTTGCATGGCAAGTGCAACTAAAAGACCCGCATGGGAAGGAGCATGGCGAGGATTTTAATGACTGAGTTCTGCATTCATAGCAAATATTTCAGATTTGGAAACTTGTCAACCCTTATCATCCTGAACATCCCCCATGTGAGTCAACATGCATAAATGCATTGCACGCGGAAATCCAAATCTGGTTTTTGTTGCCTGACATCCTTCAGGCGAACTCAGCTTCCTGACAGTTCATTGCCCCACAACGCGTGTGCCACTCTCACAGGGATCCTGCTGGCATTGGCCGGCAGTGAGCAATGTTTAGAGTTTTACTAAACAAGTCAGTGGCAGAGAGCCGACATGTGATGCACATATATATATATATACATTATATATGAAATATCGCAAGGGCATAGGAGTCTGCTGTCGTTTTTCCAAATGGCCTGAAGAATCACGAGGAACAAGCGGTCATTCTTGCTGCCCTGCATTCTAGACGTTTTTTCCTTGCAAGACGTGTGCCGCGCCTTTTCATGTGAGGTGGCAAGGCCCATCGCCATTTCAGCGGCGTCCCCTTCTTCTTTGCCAAAAAGTGTTTTCAATTTCTAGTGCGCGGCGAGATGAGAACAGCTGCCATTCCCCGCATGTGTCCTCTTTTTTGTTCCTTAACTGTTCCAAGCGAATCGACCTCAGCTTTGGGTTTTCCCCTTTTGGCTCTGGGTCCCGGAGGGGCAAGTGGGTATGGGTCAAAATTAAACCACCAGACCGCAGGTTTTAGTCCTTGGTTTCATTTACCAGGGTTCCATGTTGGGTTCCTATTTTGGACTTTCTGTTTTTTGACCCACACCCCAAGGTTGCATTTAGTCCTTGGTTCCATGTTACCTTTTTTTGACCCACAGCCAAGTCTGGTGTCCCGAAGTCCTGTTCGCCAGGCCTCGTACATTTGCACGGAGTGCGAGGATGCCCTGTGCTCTCGATGCTCCGCACAGATCCACCGGGTGGGCGCGCGGCAAAACCACAGCCTCTTCGGACTGCGCAAGGCTCGGTTTGGATGCGTCTTGAGGGTGCCCTTTTGGGCTTGGCTTTAAACGGATACCAGTCGGGAACCCAATTGTTGGGGTCCCCGAGAAGAAAGAAAAACAACAAACGTGTTTGTTGCGCCAAGCCGTTTTTTTTGCCGTTCCGAGTCACTGCCCCTTGGGGAGGACGGGCATAAGCCATTTTCAGATTGCGAGGTGTGAGTTGTGGTGGGACAGAGCATGAGCAAAAAGATCACGCTGTTTAATTGTTTGGTTTGCTTTGGCGACGTATTTTACATGTCTGAATCGATGAAGGAATGTTCTGTACTTGATGGCAACCGTGCACTCAGGAGAATTACAGAAGAAGACGAGAGATTGCCATGCTTTGCTTTGAGAGTAGTTTGTCAACTTCATCCGCTCAAGTCTCAGCTTTGATGAATCAACATACTTTCTGTGATGAATCAATGCGGTACCAACTCCACATAGCATGCCCTGTTCTATGTGAGGAGCTTTTCATGTCTCTTCTATCTTGGTCCAGTTTAGATGTCCCTTACGCAGCTTTCTCCAGTTGGAACTGTGATAGTCTGGTGATGTCTGGTGGTAAAGGCGGTCATTTGGACAGCTCCTGGAACAAGCAATGGAGTGCTATAGGCTATATTATGTAAGATTTGTTTTGCGATGGATTGGCTTTTCCTGCTACACCCGGAAACCAGGCATGCCGGCAAGCAAGCAATCAAGCACCACCCCAAACCCACCCTAACCCCGCCCTGAATTCACTAAACCCGCCGTGAAAACACGCTAACCCACCCTTAACCCATCCTAAATGCACGTACATGACTGCGACAAAGGTGTACGAGCCCTTGTTGCTTGATTGGGCATTTAATCTCACCCAACCCCCTCCGGCGATCAAAGCTCAAAGAACAAATACAGCTTAGCAGACGATGGGGACATGACTGCCCCATACCAAACCCGCCTGCACGATGTCAAAAGGCGAAGGGAGCGCGACATTTCATTTGGAGCGTTGCACCCTGGGAGGCGGCATACAGCAAGCGATTGTTTGCCGACAACCTGGACCGCTCCTTGCTTTGAAAGGATCGGCCGTGTTGAGGACGTGGCCTGCTTCAGTGTCTGAACTAGGCTACGTGAGGCCTGACTCTCTAGCTGATTAGGGTTCCTCGTGGGCCGGGTCCATGCCCGGCATTGGTCCATGTTTGCTTCCCACAAATTCGTTTGTCAGATCCCTAAGGGCGCGAAGGTCGCGAGCGCCCGCCTGTGTTGTAAAACGCTTCGGTTTTTCGCATTGGCTGGGACCCACGGGCGCCAAGATGTCAGGCATTGGCCCTGAAGGGTCCGAAGGAAACGCCGATTCGGGACGACCAGTTTTGGAATGCGATAGCAAGAATGGTGTGTGGTCAGATCGAGGCTGCCCTTGACAGATCGGTGGCTGGTTTTTGCAGTACATTTGCAGTACCATTTTGTTTGGTTTCGCAGCTTGTCCAGGATTCTCACTGGGCGAATTGCAGAGGGGCAGATCGAAATCCAGCACACATGTCCAAGTGTTGAGCGGAAAACCGTTGTAAAGCTTCTCAACGAAGGTGATATGATGGACGAGCACAAACAAAGACAGTGCTTCTCCTTCACAATGTAAGGAAGCAGGCCAACCAGTCTTCAAGCCCACATAAAGTTAGCTGCTTGATTTAGCAAGCAGGCTAGAGGGGCGTCCCTAGGACTGTTTGCTTTTTCTTTTTTGCGAAACTCATCGAAGCATGTTAGAAGTGTTCAAGGAGCTCAAACGTGGGCCGAACGGGAACGGGGACCAACGCGGGCTTACTTGCAGGCAGCTTGCGGCAGCTCGTTCGGATATCTTCAATTTGTATAGTTGAAAGCGGCAGCATCCAGACTTCACAGCACCCAGAGTGAAGAGGTGGTTGGTTTTTCGCCTGCTTGCCGGGCGGGGCTTTTTTGCAACGAGGCCCATGTGACATTAACTCATTTGGGTGGTGTGCATGACTTGCCCAGCTGGAACAACAGGTTTCGAGTGTCCTTGAGCCTGGGGAAAATGTGTTTTCAGAAGTAAGCTTTGGTTTTGGTGAAGTCAAGCTGAGGTCTGATGGGCATTTTGCAGCGGAACATCGAGCGCGCATACGACTTGAGGCGCGAGAGCAGTACCAAGAAACTGGCAGTCACGTGAGCGCAACTTGACAATTGACACGTTTGAGTTTGCTTGGGCGATTGGCAGTCTTCCATTTGTTTTCTTAATCTTTTCCCCTGTTGGTTTTACAGGGAATCTATCACTACAGGATTTTTTCCAGGGGACTGAAGCAAATGGAGGCCTTTATGTGATGTTGAGTGTGTCTCCAATGGGTGACTGTGGCGGATCCACACTGGTGAAGCCACTTTGGATCTTGGCTGTTCAGATTGCCGCATTGGCTGGCACACTTTCTGAAATTGAGGGTTTCGCGGATTGAAGTTTTCCTTGAGAAGAGAAAGCCCGGGTTTTCTGCCAGCCCGTGGTTCATCTTCTACGACCAAGCGCTGGCGCCCTCCTGGTACAACTTCACCTCTTACCAGATGGCCGGGCCCTTTGATCGGGTCCGGGGGGAGGGGGGTCCAAAGCGGCAGTGCTTGACACGTCGAATGCACCGTTCCTTCCGCCAACATGGCACCTGTGGGAGGGTACCTGGAAGATCAGTGCCATGGTTGCTGGTGGGAGAGACAGTACATGCTCGCACTTGTCTCGGCAGGTTCGGGCGGATCCCAACAACTTGGTGAACCCGCCCATCGAGGAGCAAGAAGGCGGGGCGATGTTTCACCCTCTTGAAATTTGGCCATCCATTTTTTTGGAATCACCCCACAAATGGCGGCGGTCATGAATCCCCTTTGTCCACCAAAGGGCCCCTATTAAAAATCACACCCAAGTAATTTGTCCGACCGGTTTGATAGGGGCTCGCCATGACTGGTAGCTGCCCCAAGGCATAGAACATGTTGGCCACAATGTTGGTATTTCGCTTTCAGGCTGGAGTCTATTTGCATTTCTTTGCTGATAACAACCCCTGAATTGTAAAGCAATCATGAAGATGAGGACCAAAGATGCTTTGCACGCAAGGTGTTCTGACATGGAAAGTCCATTGAACATGGCAAGTTTAATACCTGGGCCATTGTTGGAGCAACAGACACTCAAGTTCACTCTGCCTGACTCTGCCTTTGGCTGACTTTACACCTTTTCTCATGTCCATCATGTGGGAGGTGATGAAAAGGTCCTGTACGTGGGATGACTAGGGAGGTGACCAAAACTGCGGGAAAAGTTAGCCATGATCATTGGCCCCAATGGCAATGGCTTCCTAACGCTCAGTTTGAAACACAGGGGTGGCTGTACTGAACACAGTGCGAAAGGCGCCCCTCAAACAAGTGGCTGGTGGACAGACATCCCCACCTAAAAACTGTCCACCAAAGGGCCCCTAGTTAAGAATCATACCCATGTTGGTTATTGACCAACCCCCATGGCGATTACCCCCCGAAAGAACCGTGCCGAGGCATCCCCAAGAAGGCGGATGACCAAGTGTTGCGGGGTCTGCCAGGCAAGCGAAGGGATGGCAGTTGCCAGGTCCTGGAGTTGTTTTGCTAATTGAGGATATATGGGTATGGGTCAAAATTAATCTACCAGGGAACCGCAGGTCTTAGTCCTTGTTTCCATTTACCCGGGGTTCCATTTCGGGCTTCCTATTTTTAACCCACACCCATACATATATATATATACAACAGTATATATGGCACCCCCATATATATATATATATATATATAATATATTATCCCAATATCCTTGGGGTTGAAGGGGAAGCTAAAAGGATGCCACTCGCTTTGGATTTACCCCATTTTCAGACTCCCATAGTCCCAGTCGAAAATTATTCACAGGCCCCCCTTTCGTGGCGTTTGAGCAACATGGCATCGCATCAAAGGACGTCATGTTCTTTTCTTTTTTTGTTGCGCCACACGCGATACAATGATGTTCCAATTTTATTTGAAAAAAACGGAGTGGTGATCCGGATTGTGTGCGGCAGTGCCCAGCACTGCGGTGCCTGCTGGACCGCTTGGCCACGCTGCATCACAATCCTCGGCACGCTGTAAGGGAACGCGGCAACGCTGTTGTTGATGCCAAGCACTGGAAATACCTAGGTGCAGAAATACTTGTTTTGTAATTTAGTGCGTTTGGCAGCCAGGTGCCCAGCGGTCGAGAATGTGCCACTTGAAGCGTGTCAAATGTGTGCTAAAGTTCAGAACTCTTCTGGGTTGGAGCAAGGGGTGCCGAGCTTGCCACTGCCAATTGGGGCGGAAGTGTCCGGATCGTTTGCCAGCCCTACCACTTTGAATGCAGGCCGTGATGCCGCTGTTGCCGCCGGCTGGTGGAGAACCCTTGCATATAGCCTGGTGAGTCACCTTGGTTTACATCCGCGGTTGCTTTGGGTATGTAGGATGGTTGGGGAGGAGACAAGTCTTGTCGTCGTGTCTGGCAATTCAAGCATCGACCGTTGCGTCGAGTTCTTGCGTTTGTTGTCGCAAGATGTGCAAGAAAGATACACATACGCCCTAATTTGTGTTTGAAGGACACAAGCTTTGGCTACATGGATTGTTTCAGTTCAAAGTTGCCAAAGGTCACGGTTGCATATGAAAAAGACAAATAATTTGAGTGTTCGCTAGCTGTCAGAGTCATAGTAAGTGTGGACACAGTTGTTTATTGAAGCTGGACAACCCACCTATCCTCAACTCGTAAGAGGTCCTAGTTCAAATGATATCACCAGCAAGAGCTTGCGTAATGCCTGCACAAGAGCTGTATATTCAGGCAATATCAGACTGATGTGAAATAGATGGGCCTACATTTTCCTCAACAGCTGCAACTGAGAAATTTTGACCCAGGATTAATAAACCCGTCCCATTATTAGGGGGGTGTTCTCTCCAAAAGTGATGAATCCCCACCAAAAGGGGACACCCCCCTATTCATCCACCAGAGGTTTACTAATCCGGGGTTAGCATTATTCGCGACACGTAATTTCTACAAAGGGAACCATTTGGGGCTTGCAGCTGGGGCCTGGATGAATCCATCCCAGTTGGCCAGGTGCCACAATCCTCAAGGACACTCACGTGGCGCAGCTTACAGCACAAGGCCGGGGGTTTACTCTTCACTTGGTGGCTCCCAGCCATCCCCCTAGCTTCTTAGCCTTTTAGTGTTTTGTGGTAGTTTTCATTTAACCCACCAAAAGTTAAACTTTTAGCGGGGATCTGAGGGCAGCCCAGTTCAGAGACAGTGGCGAGATGTCGGGGACCTCAAGAAAGTCCACGCCATGCCTTGCCGCTAAAGCGCTTGATGAACTGAGTTGACATGAGGCATTTACTGACAGTTGTTCCGATTTTGCTTTGGGGATGGCAACATTCCACAGGAAGACGTTTCTTTGTTGAGGCTGTGTACATCGTAGGGCTCCAGGCTGCGCGAGTTGCCGCACATGTGTCGGCACAGATCACACAATCCATGCAGTCATCTAATGGTCATATTAAAGGAGTATCCCATAGCTATTGCGAGGAGGTTCTTCAGAAATAGGCAGCCAATGCTTAGCAAAGGTTTGGGATTGGTGAGGCTTCAACGACCCCAAAGTTGTGCGGTCTCAGCCGCGAGCGCTTTCTGGTAAGACATTATCCAGCCTCAAGGCTCGGTACTATGAAATGAACTGCGCATGCTGACAGAAGGTGTTCAACAATGTGGTTTGTTGTGAAACCACTCCCTTGCGCTATGAAATGGCTGTATAAGGGCGCTTGGCAAATCTATTTGACAGCTACACAAGTGAAATACCTGCGACTTGATGGGATTCCAATCATCATGCCGATGTGAATGCATTTGAGTCTTGAACGACAAGCGACGCCCAAGTGACGTGTTCCCAGTTTGTGGCTGTCTCATGTTTGCCAGGTGCTTGCTTCGACGTGCCGCCGCCGGTGCATGTCAAGTTTGCAGCGACCGCGCGGTAGATATTGGGCCCGCCATTAAGATGCAAGCCTTTAGTGCTGTCAATTCGAAAAGAGCAACTTCCACGTGTCTCTCGCAAAGCATTCACACGGAGGGATAAAGAAGCAGTCGCAGCTTGGCTTCAAAAGCCAGCCAAATCGTTTCACCCGACACCAGCTCAATATCATGGTTTGACACGGGTTTAGAGTTGAAGCAGATGTGTATAGAGAATTGGCATCCGGTGTTGCGAGCTGTTGAGTGTGATCATTCGCTCAGAGGATGCTTATGCTGTGAGTTGCTTGTATCACGTGTGGTGGCTTTCACGCAAACGTGGGCTCTTTGCAGCTTGGTGTCGGCAAATCTCACCATGAATTGAAGCTGCAACAGCAAGCTGCTGCGAGTCACACCTTGCAAGAAAAGACAGCTGCATGAGGCTGCATGTCTTTAAGACAACACTGGGGTTCAGTTGCCACCATGAAACCAATGGTTGGGTTCATATTTCACCACCATTGTTTACAGCATGATCCACATTGGGTCAACAATTCTTCTGATGGGGGTTGAACCCTAGGGATGAGATTGGAAGAGCCACCGGATGTGCAACATGTCTGCATCCATGTGACCAGTTTTCCATCCACGAGCGTTTGAGGTCTTTTCCAACAGAGGAGGCTAGTCCAGTAATCCAAAGAGTTTGAGCTTTTCTGTTTGAAAACCTGCCGCGCGGGCTTTGCCTATTGCTACCCTGCCATCAAATCCTTTGAAGATCCCGGCCCCAGAGCCCAAGTACTCGTGGGTGTTTCAATATATGTGAATTTGTCATTTTGGGTGTGCTCCTGCTGAAACCTCTTTGAGATGTGCCGTGAAGTCATGTTTGCGCTGAAGCCGTTCAATTTCGAAAAGAGCCAGGAAATACAGTGACTCGCTACATTTTGTGGCTGGTTCCCTTGTGTGTGTGTTTCTTCCGGGGATCCGCGGTAGATACAGGCAGGTTAGATCTTAGGTAGGAATTTACTGTAGCGGCGACACTGCACCAGGTGCTGCTTGCTTGCTTGTCCGTTATGATATTTAACTATGGGCGGATTGGTGTCCCAGCGCTTGTGTGCCTGCCAATGTATCTGTTTTTGTATTATTGACGAGTCCTAGGATTTGTGGCTTCCCCTCTCAATTCTTCCTTTTTTCTCTGCACACGCCCTTGCAAATCACTTGTAGGGTTTATCGATACTTCCAGATGTTGTTGAATCAGCCAGTGCATGGCTTGAACGGGTCAGGCCGCCATGTCGTCACGGAGACACCTTTCGTACCATCTAAGTGCTGCCATCATTTTAGTGCATGCCATTCATTGTTGCACGGATTCTGGCGGCGGATGCCGAACAGGGCTTGGCTAATGAACGGGTATCTTAGGCCGTACGTGGCGCTTTGTGCTTGAAGCTGTTTCCGCATGTCGACTCCGCGAGCTGCTCAAGGCACAACACGTTGACCAGGAATCGGAAATGCCTTTGCATCACAGGTTGGTCTGATCGAGTTTGGAAGAGTGAACCTCTTCTTTACGGATTAGACTGCGAGAATCCTTCCCCCTTTTCTCCCTCCTCTCACTGCTTGCTCAGGCTGGAAGGATGCAAGGAGAGTATGGTCTTTAAGTGTTCAATGCCCAGTTGCCCAGTGGCGCCCTATTTCCTTTTGCTTGGGAAGATCCGTCCCCTTTCAACTCTCCCAACCAAAAAAGGATGCCCTTCGTTTCCAAAAAGGAAATCCACTGGGCATCTGAGAATGATAAGGCAAGCAATGGCGCTGACTAGTCACTTGGTGGCTCCCAGCCATCCCCTTAGCTTTTTCGCCTTTTAGTGTTTAGTGGTGGTTTCCATTCAACCCACTAAAAGCTGGGTATGGGTCAAAATTAAACCACCAGGGGACCACAGGTTTTGGTCCATTTTTCCACTTACCAGGGCAAGCCATTTTGGGTACCTTTTTTTCAGTTAAACTTTCAGCAGGGGATCTGAGGGCAACGACAGCTCATGGCCTGCCATGGCTAAGCCGCCGGATGTGCTGCTGCTTTGGCCGAACCTAGTGTGTCGCTCTGCCGCACGCAGCAAAAAAAAACAAAGTGATTCTGGGCGGTTCCCAGCGAACCCTCCGGTTCAACTTAGGTTTTTAGTGTTTTTTAGTGGTTTTTAGTGGGTTTGTTGTTAGTTGTTTTAGTCGTGGAGTTTCCGAATTTCACCCACAAGCTAAGCTTTTTTTGGCGGCTTTGAGGACAGAACAGTGTTGTGTTTGGAATTGCGGACAATTAGTTGTACTGTGGATGGACGAAATCCATTTCGCACCACAAAATGAAACCATGATTTGAAACCATTGTTTGTGCGTATTTTCAGGGCAGCCAAATCATTCCAGGGTTTCTTGGGTGATGCTGGATTCGTTTATCCACAGTAGGGAATCCATACCGTGCCGGAAGCTAGGACAGCTTCCCGACGCATGACGTTTTGTGCAACTGTTGTTGGCTTTGTTTGGTCTAGCTCGCACCATCTCAAACATCCTGGTTTCTTGCAGGTTGTAACAAGCACTCATCTGCAGCAGGAAGTTAGTTATGTTGGTTGTTTTCGTGCTCATCCTGAAATGACTCAATTGTCAATGCCTGTTGCTTCATGTTGCAGGCACGTCACTTTCCATCACAGGTTATGTGCGAGCGCTGCTGGGTGCTGCGTCACTAGGCCGGCGATCATTCCAACGAAGCCATCTTGCCCCGAGGGATCCCAGCTTAGGAACTATGGCCAAGTCCCGATGCATGTGTTTGCTAAAGACATGAGTGTGACAAATGCCCATTGAGTTAGTTGGGCACTACAAAATGAGGATGATTTGTGGCTTGAAAGCTGTGGCCACTGCAACGATTGCTTCCAGAAGGTTCCTGTTGCCCGGATCGTGTGCTTTTTAGGCATTTTGAGGGCGAGATGCCAACTTGGCCAGTTTTCCGCAGGCCATCCGGTATCCTGAGTGACAATCTGGCAAGCAAGCATACTCGAAGGTTCTAGACTGATTGAGATTCGATGAGATCCGGCACTGCTAGCACTATCACCTCGCCGCCCAACTAATTATGCTGTTGCTTTTGTGGTGCGGGAGTGTGCTTTTGCAAGTGCAGATCGTTGGAAAGCATTTGAGCCGCCTATTTCAATCAGTGAGCTATAGAAGCTTGTTCAGTTTGGTCATCTTTGGTTGGTTGGCAAAATGGGTGTGCGTGTGTGTGCTCCCTGGCAACACGCTTGGAAACGTAACCTTAGCACCACTGTTCCCAAGTAGAAGATCCAGGTTTTGTCTCACATTCGCCCTTTGGGTATGGGCTTCTGGCCTCCAGCAACCCTAGGAATAAGTGGAAGATTTGGTGCTGACTGTGTTTGCGTTTCCCAGCCACCAACTGCTTGCGACATCAAAAGATGTGCTACTGAGCAGTGAATCCTGAATCTCATTTTGGTGGATCGAGAACGCACGCATGTAGGCCTGGTGCATTGTGTGAATACTGCTGCCAATTTTGCGGTCACATGGGGGTTGATCAAAAGCTCCTTTACATAGGATGAGCATTGGGGGAAACCATTACAAAGATGACATTTCCACTAAATCGAACAAGTTACCCATGGTCGGTGGCCGAAGTGCCCAAGTTGAGGTGTCATTTTACCCACTCTGAGTGTCACCTTGGGCAGGCCTGGCATGGGCTGAAGCCTCACCTGTGGTGGTGGCTGTCATCTATGCCTCGTCCTCATTTCGCGAAATCTACCGGCCGTTTGGGCGGGGTTTGGGGTTTCGGCCGTTTTGGGCTTGTTGCAGCGGAATGCGGGGGCTTGCTCGCGGATGCCTTTTTGATATGAGCATGAGGTTAAAGCGGCGGTTGCTCACCAGGCAATAGCAACAGAGCGACCTTGCTCGAGCACTGTATGGTGACTTATTGACGGAGCAAAGACTATACATGTATGTAATTATTTACAATCATTAGTACAATGAAGGGGAAGCATGTGTCTCCCGTGAGATTCGGCCCCTGACATTGTTTGGCCAGCATTCCAAAGGCGCGGCGTAACGGAGCTCCTTGAGATCCGTGAACTACCGCTCAACGTGTATAACGCGCAGTGAAACTCTTATAACTTGCAGCAGTTTGGCAGCTGTGATTCACTTTCACTGCTATTGGCATGTTGAGGTTTCAAGCAAGTTTCTGATGTCGCAGCAGGCCTGAAACATCGCATGACTAGCAATAACCAGCAAAGCCAGTGCTCAAGGCATGTCACCTTATATTTCGGAGTGTTGAATCATCCACAGAGTGTTGGTAACAGCACACGAACATGCGCCGAAATCAAAGCAACGTCTCACAATACGACGGGAGTGTACCTACAAGGGATTTCTGCGAAATAGGTACCATCCATAGGTTGACGTACGGATGGCCAGCCAGCTACAAATGCGAGTGGCCCAGATGCTTGGAACCAAACCTGGATGCTTTGAATGTGATATGTTACTTTCCAAGCCTGGCAAAACAAGGTGCTTTTTTTGGCGGTCTCCTAAACATGCACAGAACCTTAAATGGCTGGGAGCTTGAAGCTTTAGCAGTGCTTGTCTGATACAGGGTCCTGTTTCTGGTTGATTCAGTTGGGCAAGACCCACTGGTGTGAGCGATCCAGGGCCATGCTCGATCGCAGGTCATTGCCATGTCGCTGGACTTCTTGGACGGCTACCTCGTGCAGCCCTCAGATTCGTAATGAGGCTAGGATGTCGTTCTTGTGTTGGTACAGTATGTTGTGTTTTGTTCAGTTTGCTTTGGTTGGCGACTGATGGAACCCAGGCGAACGCCTCGAACAAGTGGCAGCTTTCGGGTTATCTCCATGGTTCTTTACCTTGAAGCTCAATGGGAAGGCCCCTAACCTCGAACCAACCTTTTTCAACCCACCAAAGGGGAAGCACTGTCCAAGACACACCTCCTACCCCTCGGTATTTGTTTTTGAGGCGAGGCGTCTGAATGAGACGTCGGCCTATGGTGCAGCCTTAGACGTCCTCGTGG